AAAACCTGCATCAATATAATCTAACAGTTCCCTCATTTCTTCCAAGAATTAAATAGTCTAAAGACCATATTTAATCTTCAAGCATTAGCACATTAACATAAGCACTTCATATGTGTAATTTAAATAAAAGGTTTATTATTTAATTTTAATTAAAATTTAGTTAAATTAGGACAATAACATTAAACATAGTTTTTTGTTAATTAAGTAAAAGAAGGAATTAAGTAAGAGGACAATTATGTCTGTGAATGAATGAATGTTGAGTTTTTAATATTATTTAAAACCGTCAGTCAATGTTGTCAGCCCATGAACGTCAATGGAAGTTTAACAAAGAGCTAAATCTATAGCCCAAGCAAGGAGCCGAAGGACGGTTTTCAATAGAAGAAAGAGTTAAAAGAGTTGTGACATTGCTCCTTAATAACTTTAGTTATTAAATAAGAGTAAACTTTTTGATATTAAAATTTTTTTTATTTAATAATTTTTATTTTGTAATATAAATTTATTTTATAGCACAATAAAATTCAAATTATAAAAAAAAAGTCTATATAAGAAGAACAATTATAAATATCTTCTTACTTTTGTATTTAGAATTAATATATATATATATATATTTGCCTCTCGGGTAAAAAAAATACAGGCAATGACCAAAGCAATTAAAGTTTGCAGCTCAAGCTGTTGCAAATATGAAGTAATTCGTACAATAAATACATATTTAATATTTTTAATTTAATTATTAATTTTTTTAATATTAAGCGTTTTTATGCATAATTTATATTATACATAAAAACACTTAATATGTCATTACACAAATTGAAAGGAATCCTAACCCAGCTCTTAATGCAACTTTAAAGATAAAATGCAGGATAACAATGAACTGTTCCTCCAAAATAGAAAAAACAACATAACCGCATCCCACACAAGCAAATAACCCCATCCCACACAAGCAATTATCAAACACCTGGTGTACATGACACAAAAAGCTTCTAATCTACCTTAACCATTCTCTCAAAACCTCCAAAAAAAGACATAAAAAAGAAAAAAAACCAACCTCATCATGCAAATCAGTTCCAAAACGAAAGAAAAAAAAATGGTAAATACAGCACTTAACCTAGAACTCCAGTGTCTAAAACCACCACATAACATGTATGCTTTTACATAAATTCCTTTAACTCAATTGAATTGGAACTCTAGCAATCAATTTGGGCAAAAAGCTATTAATATCAGGATTGTGCACCTTGAAATGAAGATAAACCCATGATTCCTTTTAGTAATTGAATTACTCTGTTCAAAAACGCTTGCTTCAATCTATCCACTACAAAATAATCCTTCCTGACTTACCGTTCACAACTAAGTTTAAATAGTTTAGAATAATGGTCTCTATCTAAATTAGTCATAACTGCCTAGCTGATCAACTAGAGTAGCCTAAAGAGATGGAACACAATTTAATTAAAAAATTGTGCGAAGTAGGAATCAATCAAAAGTAAATTAAGTAGTACTAATTCATGAAAACTGAATTGCATTATTAAAACTTGGCTTGGATGAAAGTACATCCTAACAAACATAAATTAGTTACATTATTACAACACTAGAATCTTAGAATATTATCCAAGATTAAATAGTAGCAATTGGTGACACTCCTCTCAATCAAATAAAACCATGCTCGTCGCCAATATGGATTTATGTATAGGACT